AAATTCTTTTTAGTAGTAGTGATTCTTATTTCTGTTTCTTGTCAGGTTGCATTGGTTAGAATATATGTGAATTTTTGTGTGTTACAGTAGATCCCTGTTACTAGCAGTAACATGGCCCTGGAGTAAGGATGGAGGTAAAGGAAAAAGTGCTGTTTTCCTTTACAGTAAGATGTTCTCTTTTGGAAATGCAGTGAAGGGAACCTTGTAGGTAACAGCTGACAGTATGGTTTGGACAGACTTTAGGCTGTAGAGGACATGCCTTACGTATTTTGACACTCAAATGACCAGTTTCCTACTTGCAGCTATCAGGTGGGTATCTCTGACTTACAAATATTTTAAAACGACATCTCAAAAGGACCATTTAACTTAGAGCATTTGAAAGTGGCAGTTTCATAAATATACAAGTTTGCAGAATATAGTAACTCAGTGAAGTTTTCAAAACTGTTTAGGGAGCATAAATAGACAAAGTAAAGCAATAGTTAATGTGTGTCTGATGCCAATTTTAACCTCACTAATTAAAGATAAAAATAAAATCATCCTTTTTTAAATCTTACCTATCATCTTGATGGAACGTTTATTTATTTGTTTGTTTGTTTAAACTGAGAATCACAGAGGTTTGTACCAGAATGCTAGTTTATTGTGCCCAGGGCTTAGAGACAACTGCAGAGAATTTTTCTTATCAGTCTGCTGTTCTCAGGATCAAATTTAACTAGAGTCATTGTCTAAGACAAGTGATACTCCAGAAAGAACTGCTCTTTCTACCTGTGGTCTATGCTGTTAGTCTGTTTCATTCCTGACCAGAGAGCTCCTTGTGTGTTCCTTTGAGATGGGCGGAAGACCTGTGATTAGGATCTGGAAAGAGCAGCTCTCCCGTGTGAGCCAATAACAAAGACCTCTACACTGTTCACAAAGACTAACTACCATTGCAGAACAGATGTGAAGCGTTGTCATCCTCTGGTGTTCCCACACTGTCCATTCCATTTCTTCCTCAGATCATTCTTCCCAAGCCACAAGCAGTAGTGCTTCCTTGTGCTCCCTGGAGTAGTTTTTCTTAGATAGCACTCCTGGATCCAGAATTTCTAGTCATGGCTCCCAGTGTTTCAAGAGTCCCTACCTTGAATCCCGCTAGTCGGATAGTCTTTGCAAAAGTTGTAGGGGCACAGTCCCTCCTAGTTGCCATAGGTTGCATTTTTGCTTTGGTGTCAGAGGGTTTTGAAGTACTGGTTCTACTAGTGCAGAGGTTCTTAACCTGTGGGTTGAATGACCCTTTCTTTCACAGGGTATGCCTAAGACCATCAGAAAACACAGGTATTTACATTATGATTCACAACAGTAGCAAAATTATAGTAATGAAGTAGCAAAGAATGTAATTTTATGATTGGGAGGTCACCACAACATAACTATTAAACGGGCACAGTGTTAGGAAAGTTGAGAACTACTGTCCTAGTGGGACACTCCAGGTCCTACCCATGCCCAAAGGATTTTCCCCATTAACACATGCTTGCAGAGCTTATTTGATACTGATACCTACCTGCATCTAGTACAAATTTCAACAGATTTTGCAATTTACATGATGAGCACCAAGGTTCTAGCTCTCCCTGTGTGGACCATTTAGATCTTTCTGTACGGTAACCCTGAATTCCCCACTTACTCTACTTCTGCTCTGCATCTTATGCATTCTAAAGGATGGCAGAGCTATTTCCAAGCCCTTGTGTCCACATCTCAGAGCCCTTGTTCGTAGAGCATGTCCCCTAAGTATAATTTCCATTCTCTCTTCTTCACTATCTTTATTAATTTAATGTTTGTAGTCACGATTCCATTTTCTTGTGTAGTAGTCATTTGTGCAGGGCGTTCTCTAACATTTTTACTTGTGACAAAATACACACAACATGAAAAGTACTACCATAACGATTTCTAAGTAACACGGAGTGATGTTGAATGCATTCATGCTAACCTTGCAGCAACCTCTCCAGAATTCTGTGTATCTTCCTATGACACAGTTCCTCATCCCCCCAGGCAACTACTGCTTTCCTTTCTGTCTCCATGAACTTGGTTATTCTAGGTACTGATATGAGTAGATTGTGACATAAATTCCTTCTATATTAAGACTGGCTAATATTCCACATTATGTGTGTATACTTTATTCTGTCTGTCCACTCATCCATTGGTAGACACAAGTTTTTTCACCTTTTGACTGTTGTGAATAAAGTGTCTGTGAACATTAATGTGGATATGTATTTTGATACCCTAATATAATTTTTTAAACTAAATACCCAGTTTTAGAATTGTTAACTCATATGATAATTCTATTTTTGAAGAGGAATTACCATATTTTTGTTTGGTTTTGTTTGCATTCCCAGACATTGAATCCAGACCTTTGCACATGCTAGGCAGGCTTTATCACTGAGCTACACTCCAGTCCACTTCACTAGTTTGTTTGTTTGTTTGTTTGTTTTTATAATGGCTGCACCATTTGACATTTCTGCCAATGGTATACAGGGCTCCATTTCCTCCATAGCCTTGTCAACACCTGCCCTCCGTCCCTCTCTTGTTTTTAAATACACAGCTATCCCAATGTACATGAACAATCATCTCATTATTTTTTCATTGTGATTTTGTTTACAGTTCCCAGGTGCTTAGTGACAACGAAAATTTTTTCTTGTGGTCCTTGGCCATTTGTGTATCTCTGGAGGAATTTGTAGTTCTTTGCTACAAATATAATTTTTGGAACTACTTTATCTATTCAGTGCTATGTCTGTTATATGTACTATTTATATCCATATAGCTTGAAAATATGAAAGTGTTTGGGTTTTACTATCTTTTCTAAGTTTATATCTACTCATCTCACTCATATTACCTCATTTACACATTATGCCAACTTCCTCTGAGGCAGTCTGTTTCCAACCCTCTAATCACACACAGCTTCTGCCTTCCTTGCCCTCTACCTAAAGAGTAAAGGTCAGTTACCTTAGAGATAACATCACTTACCAATGAAGTACTAACTGAGGAAGACTGTCTGTTGGAAAGAAATATTTGGAGACAATTTAACTCTTGCCCTTAGTTCATTGCCCACTTGTTGTTTGGCTTGTAACAATAGTCCTTTAATTATTTCAGTCTCTTCAATTGCCTGCCACTGACAAATTTAATACAGCAAAGAATATAAAATTACTTTAAAACAGGTGACTGCAGGATGTCTTAGGTTTCTTATTGTCATGATAAACACCATGACCAAAAGCAACTTTGGGAAAAAAGGGTTGAAAGTCAGGGCAAGAACTCAAGGCAGGAACTGACACCTAGACCATGGAGTAGTGCTGCTTACTGGTTTGCCTGCTCCTGGCTTTGCTCAGCCTGCTTTCTTACCCAATCTAGGACCACCACCAGCCCAGGAGTGGTACTACTCACAAAGACTTGAGCCCTCCATATCAATCGCTAGTTAAGAAAATGTTCTATAGACTTGTCAACAGATAAATCTTATGGAGTCAATTTCTCAATTGAAGGTCCCTCTTCCCAAACAACTTACAACTTGTGTCAAATTGACAAAAAAGAAAAAAAGAAAAAAAGGAAAAGAAACAATGGGAGACAATTGATTCTAGAAATAATAGCATTGGGAAATATCTCAAAGACCCTTTAGAAATGTGCCTGTACCCTCCTCTCCATACCAATACTTGATGTGCTTCTTTAGCATGGGCAGAGGCATCACAGAATTTTAGGATGCACCTCTAGAAAGGTTAGATGATATCTTTATTTTTCAAAAGGGACATATGTGCACTGATGCAGTTAGAAACTCTTAAATGTGATTCTCATGGACAGAATAGTGTGGCTGTGGCTTCTTCCTGCCTACTCTCTCATGATACTTGTCTCTTGGGGGAGGATGTTTATCCTGAACATCCGGAGAACCATTGTGTTTTGTTCAGGATCCACCTGCTTCTCTCCAGCCCAAACACAATTAACTGCTAAATTTCAGAGTAGGAGGCTGGCCACTGTTACTGCCTTGAATTCAATCCAAGAAACTAACCATGCAGTCGAGAGACTCCTGGTAGAGGCCAACCAGTTGGAGTATTAGACTTAACAAGTCCTTGAGTTCTTATGTTTATTTGGTACATTAAGTGCAGTCTGGTTTCAATTACATAACGTGCACCCTCACCCTCATCACACAGGCACTTAGGAGTTTAACAGTTTAGTCAGAGGGAAATGACCACAGTAAGAAGATGATCACACAATTTGGATCTCTAGGTAATACATCAAAAACTATGATTATTGATAATAATAGTAATAGCTGCTGTTTTGTACCAATCAAAATCTTTATGTATTAAATATTTTTATACATCACTGTTGTGATCACCATATAACCAATTTAGAGCTAAGGAACCTGGCTAGTTGATGATGACTTGAAAAGATTCTAGAAAATTGGACAGCAAGGATTAATGTCCAATTTGCCAAAGATAGGACTGGCTTCCTGGAAGACATGGAATTTGAGTTAATCTTGGAGGACATGGAGCAAAACAGAGAAGGTAGACTCTTTTGCATTTTCTTTTAGCTGTAGTGAGGCTGGGCAGACTATCACACAATAGACTTGCTTCCATGCATTTTCCTGTCAGCTTTACCTGAGCACACTGAGTTACTTCTGCTAACACTATCCAGATGTGTCTTTGTCCTCTTTTGCATGCTTAAGTGCTTTGTTATAATTTTCTTATAGTAAATAGTCTTTATGCCTCAATTTATCTATCTATAAAATGAAAAGAGTAGAGTAGTGGGAGAGCCAAATGAGTCAATATGTGAAAAGCACCAAAGACAGAGCATTGGTCATAGTAACTGACATTGATTTTTAACTGCCACATCTTTACATATATAGACAAGAGTTTTGATCATGTGGAATTAATGCATAGCTACTCCTCTTACCTTCAACTTTATCCTCATGTAAGGTAAAGACAAATACACAAACACAGACAGACAGACACACACACACATTTTCTTTTTTCTTTATTTTTAAAGATGTATTTATTTATTAGGTATACAGTACTCTGTCTGCATATACACCTGCATACCAGAAGAGGTTATCAGATCTCATTATAGGTGGTTGTGAGCCACCATGTGGTTACTGGGAATTGAACTCAGGATCTCTGGAAGAGCATTCAGTGCTTTTAACCTCTGAGCCATCTCTCCAGTTCCCACACACATTTTCTGACAGTGCTTTACTATCAGGGCTTGTTAAATGTTAGAATGACAGAATACTGTCAAAGTGCAGTGTCTTAGCACTAGAGAATGTGGGAAGGTCCCATTTTGTGTGGCTACTTTAGATTCTGTGGGAGACCTGTTTCTCCTCTTCTTTCAGGAAACAAACATTTTAGCTAGAGACTCACAAAGAGTCCAGACTCATCATGTGTGGTCTCTTCTATAACCTGAAAAGCATGATACCAGGGAAGGTGCTTTGCTCAAGTGGAGAGCTTATAAGGCCAGCCAATCCCTGCTGGCCTCACTCAGGTCCAGTTATTTTCCTACTGCTCTTTGAAATCCCCCAGGGCCTAAGGCCAGTCTTGACTTTGTCTGGCGGAGGCACAAAGGAGGTTTTCCTGCCTAAGATCACAATAGAAGGAAAATACCCAGGCTCCCTTCCAACTGTGAAGACCTCTGGACTAAACCATGGGCAGATAGGAAGCCTTCTCTACAAGGCTCAGGTGTGATGATAGTTACAAGTTCCAGAGTTTTCCCCTAACAGGAATGTTGTCATGTCCATGAGGCATTTCCTTCTCTGACATCTGTCATCAAAACTGGAGAAAGTCTTGGTTTTCTTGGTTGGGAGGCCACTGTGGGAGAGAGAGACAGAGAGAGAGAGAGAGCGCTAGTTAGTTTGTTCAGGGTAGTGGGGGAGCACCTTATGAAGGACATAGCCAGGGCTTCCCTTTAGTGCTGTTCCTGAGACTCAGTTGTTAAAAACTATGGGGGTTTATTTCCTGAGTTCCTGAATCCTGTAGACCAGGCAGCAACCTGAGGGAGGACCTGGGAAGTTCATTAAACTGGCTTCCATGCTTTCAATGAAAATGCTATGTCATTGTGAGCAAGGCTTGCTGACATAGCTTTGGTACAGAAAGAGGGAACCAGTACTGAGTGGCTGTGTAATCCATCTGCATAGGCTTGTTCTCTACTCCTCATCTTTGTTGGCTTTTCTCTATCATTTAGAACTGTTGTAACCTTGAAGTAAAGGATTTTTCTTAGTTTTTAATTAGTATTAAACATTCACTATTGCATTGATATCATGTTGGTGGTGGCTCTGTATTTGGCATACATATATAGGCAATTATTGAATAACAAAATATTTCCTGTTTCTTATTTCTTTCTTACTATGTTGTTGTACATAATTTAGCATTGGTCTTTTATGTTGGAATTATAGAAAGAAGGATTTCTTGTGGAGAGCATAATAGTGTGACTTGAATCAGGATTCTTACCTGAGACTCTGGATGAAGTTCAAGGCTACAAGTAATTTCATCTCTTGCCTTTTCTTTTCTTTTTTTCTTTTTGTCTTTCCAGGATGAATTTAAGAAGGAAAAAGGAGAGGGCCTAACCCAAATACTGTGTGAGAAGGATGAGGCTGAGGCTGATGCTGGTGCTAGTGTCTGCTCCTTGCTTCTAGCCCAATCTGAGGTTAGGCCCGAGTGTTTGCTGATGGTCTTGGCCAATAGCACAGGTAAGGGCCACTTTGGGGACTTGGAATTGACTAGGGCTGAACTTAAATGGGGTTCATGATAGAAGATCCTGGTTGGAACTCAGCTTCAGAAACTACAGGTGCTGGGAAGAAAGGTCTGGTTGAAAAGGATCACCGGATAAAAGCTTCTAGGACAAGATGGGAGGACAGATCAAGATGAGCTGGACTAGCTTCTAGATTTAGCAACCCCTGTTTCTAATTCTAGAACTTTCCAGCAAACTCCAGCTTATGGAAAAGCACCAGTCTGACTTGAAAAAGGTATGTTCACAAGATGATGCATCTCAGGGGGAGCACTGGGTCAGGAGAGGAGATGGTGACCTCTCCAGGCATCCACTTCTTTCCATCCTCTACAGTCCACATCAGGGAGTTGCACCCAGGGATATGGAGTGGTCTGGGCTTCTCGCTAGAACTCTTTTGTTCACAAGTGACATGCTGCCATTTGTTTATCTTTTCCTTAAGCTGGGGATCCAAGGCTTCAATAAACAAGATATTGGGAGTCACCAGAGCTATTCCCGAAAGACTCTGATTGCACTGGTCACCTCGGGAGTCCTGCTGGCCATCTTGGGCACCACTGGCTATTTTCTGATGAATCGCCGCAGTTGGAGCCCCACAGGAGAAAGGCTGGTCAGTTCTGGGGTATGGGGAAAAGCAAATGAGGAAGATAATGAACTTCTGGGGAGGCCCATGGATATCATGAGAGGGAAGGGGAAAATACCATAAAAGATATTTCTGGTATTTTTGACATAGGGATATACATGCATGAAGACATTGTATCTACAGAAGAGTAGGAATAAGATGCGGCAAATGGGGAGCATGGTAAACTGGGGCGAGTTCACCTGCTAGTCTTTGTCACAGCTGATGATCTATGTGATCTATTCATATTGTCCTGGATAGTTCAGCTGGATAAAGGAGAACAGGTTGCTAAATTGGACATGCTTATTTGTAAACATATTGAATGCCCCGTGGGTGCCATTTTGCTCACAAGCATGGGGCATATGGAAGGAATATCTACTTTTGAAATGTTCTGGATAGAGGGAGGGACAAGATTGAAGTATGACTCTTGCCAATGGCTGGTATCTACTGGGGAGGCTTTTCTGTCCCTGAGACTTGTTTCTTATGGGGCTGGTTACTGAGCCACGTTGACATGGTATGGTGCCTCTCCTCTGTCCTTTCTCCTCTAGGAGCTGGAACCTTGACGGCTGTTGGGAAGAAAAGAGCCTGCACATGTAGCTGACCTGCCCCCCTCCTCCTCCCTCTGTGCTCTCCTCATAGTACCTCACAACCCGACTTACCAGATAATACTACTTTATTTCTACACTGTCCAGGGTGAAGACCCTTATTACACGGAGAATGGTGGAGGCCAGGGCTATAGCTCAGGACCTGGGGCCTCCCCTGAGACTCAGGGAAAGGCCAGTGTGACCCGAGGGGCTCAGGAGAACGGGACCGGCCAGGCCACTTCCAGAAACGGCCATTCAGCAAGACAACATGTGGTGGCTGACACAGAACTGTGACCTGGCTGTGTGGGCAAAACTGGGTGGTATCCAGGAAGTGGCATCTCTGCCTCTGACCTCATGCTGCCTCCAGCTCATGTCCTACCTTCTCACATCACACACATTTTAGAGACTGTTCCCAGGACTTTTCACTTTTGTGAAGGCAGATAAACTGCCTTCTGAACGTTCAGCTCCCTGAACCTAAACTCTGACCTTTGGGTCAAGTTGTGATGGAGAGAAGCCTAGGTCTAGAGGAGCTGCCAAGAAGATTGGTGGCTATGTAGCACTTGCCTTGGGTCTTCCTCTTCTCTTGCCTCTTTCAGTGACTCTTGGGAAGACTAGCTTTTCTAAGCTATACCTTCCTCCCAAGAAACTTTGCTTTTTACTGTTTCTTCTTTCTGTTTTCTTCCCCTACTTTAGGAAAACCAAGGTATTCACTGACATCTGCACCCTTCTAAGTATACAGCCAGAAAACAGTATATCCTTTATAACTCTTCAAGACACTGTGGATTTAGTCACCAATTTCTCTCTTGGTCGCATGTTCCCGAATATCTGTCTACAGAGGAAAGGACAACTTTCTGTCTGGTTCCTGATACTGGACTCCATGCTGTAAAGCAACAGCTCACCTAGTCTCTTGGGGCCTCACAGAAATTCCCATTGGTTCAATGTAGACAGGACAGTGGAACTAGACTTTGAACTGAGCCTCTCTCTCTTTTTTTAAATTTTGTTTTGTTTTGTTGTTAGGATTGAGCCCAGAACTTCATGCATATTAGTCAAGTGCTCTACCATTGAGCTATATCCTCAGCACCTCTTCTCTCTTCTTATTTAGAGGCAAGGTTTTATGTAGGTGACCAGGCTTGCCTTGAACTATGCAGTCAGGCAGGCCTTAAACTTAAACTCTTATTTTAGGCTTCCAAGTAGCTTGAATTACAGGTCTGAACTACCAGGCTCAGTTGAGCTCTTCAAAACCCCCTGAACTCTTCAGAAGAACCCTCTTGGTGTCAGGCTCCTAACCTTCTATAACTCTATGACTTCCCTGCCCTCTGACTCCTGGGGGAGCTGTGGCCGCAGTCCCCGGTAGACTCCTTTCTGTCTGTGCCTTTCCTAGCTCAACCCCCTTCAAGACTATAATCTTCCTCTCCTGGATCTGACCCAGGACCCCTTCTCTAATTTTTCCAGGGGGGTGGGAGAAGAACAGGGATCCTGGTTTCAATGAGACTGGAAACTGAACTTTCCAGAGATGAGAAGATTGAGTGAATTTTTTCTGAATAAACAGTGATGAGTGAGAATAATATAATTAAAGTGATGATAAAATCTGCTGTGGCCTATCATGCTGAGTGTGCTAAGTGACTGGGTGGCTTCCATTTCAGGCCTGGGGAAACTGTGGTAGTATGGGGGAGGTCAACCAAGGAGGAGCTCTGCTTAGGGAGGGACTCAGGTACCAGACAGGACACCCAGAGCTTGTGACTTTGTGAAATGTTCCCTTCCATATTGGGAGGCATAGAGGCTAGAAGCTTTTTATAGTAGAGAGAATGGCAGGCTACAATGCCTTTCAGTGCCCTTCAATGCCTGCAATGCTCATTCAGAAGGATGAGAAATGTTGGGTATTCAAAAACACCATTCCAAGAAGAGGGGCATGTGAGTGACCGCATGAAAAACACACAAAACAAAGGAAAGGGAAAAACATACAAAACAAAGGAAAGGATTTATGTTCTAGGCAGCCTTTGTTACCTGATCATCTGCTGACCCAGCTCATGGTATGACCAGAAAGAACTATGTGAAGTCTATTCTGGAGCTGGTTGCCAACTCCCAGATACAGCAGCCCTATGTAAATACTTGCCCATGCCAGATTCCACGTAACCTGCCTCCATGTCACATGAAGTGGAAGAATGGTGCTGCTAGATTTTCAGAGGCGTCTGGGAACATCCATGTGCCAACAGTGCATGGGGGTTAAAGGCTAAATAAAGGTTGATTCTTTCAGTCTTACCTTGTCAAAGCCAGGCATATTTCTTGATGGCTTTTGTCTAACTTTGCTCATAGAGACTCCTCCCTAGGATAAAAAAGCCGAGGGACAAGGCTAGACCTTGCCCACATGGTGGTGCGTGTTTGGGGGATCAGAGAAAGGAAAGATGGTAATTGAACATAAAATTTATGTTCGCCATTTAATAGCATGCCTTGCAATGAGTTACCAGTTAAGGGCCTGGCTTTGGTTAGCGGTGTCTGGAAAGTAGTTAAGTACTGGAAATGGAGTCCTTGGAAACATCGGAGAGAGAAAAGAAGCTATGGGGCCTCAGGACTATTTTACCCTGCATTTCTGAGGATGCAGGCTTTAGGGGAGAGGTTTGTATGTGCTGGGATAGATGGAGTAGTGACTATGATAGCTGGATAGCTTACTGTAAAGGTCTCATTTGCTTCCTAAAGCATTACTTTCCACTAGGTCTGAAAATCATGATGCAGCAACGGCACCACCTGCTGGCTCTGCTGAGTTCCCACTATTCAGCCTCAGAACTGGTACTTGATGTTTGCTGGGTTTCTCTCTGGTGTTGTCCTATCCTTAACAGTCTAGTCAAATTTATCTCATTCGTAGCTCTCACACAACTATAGAAAGGTAACAATGGAGAGGATTTTAAATATATATTCAGTACAATGCCATGTGTACAGCGTGTGTATTAGTGTGGATTAACACTAAGCCTTTAGGAAGATGTCCTGCTTTGAGCATCCTGCTCTTCTGCAGAGGCCTCTAGGTTCCTCCAGTTAGGTGCCTCAATGCCAGTGGCATGTTTCAGAGTGAGTTTGTGACTACATTTTTTTGCATCATTTTACCAATGTGTGCCATGCCAGGACTCAAAAGCCTAGTAGGCTCTGAGCCTAGAAACAAAAATTTTAGGAGGCGATGAGGTTACACACATGGACTCTTCTGCCAGCTTTTTGTCTAAACAGATAAATAAATGATTTGTCCTTCGAGTCTGACAGGCATACTATCCCCTTTCTGTATCTTCTAGATAAATCAATCTTGTTTCATGGCAGAAGGCCAGGGAGAGGCAAACAGTTTTGTGCAGTAGGATGCTACTCATTTTCTTATAAACCTACTCATGGCCCAATGATTTTTCTATCAAAATTTAACCATTCAACACATTTTATTGAGTATACTCTGTGTAGTGGCTGCTCTAGAGACAGGATTAAGCAGACATTCATAGAGATTCCAGCTCTAGCAGAGGAGAAAGAGCAAAAACAGTTTACCTCAGCAAACATATGCATACATTTTCAAGTACTATATAGAACTATAAAAATACTTATGAGCGTCCCCTTCAGTATATTCCAAGACCTTTGGTGGATTTAAACCTTAGCTGGTACTGAGGCCTGTAGACAATCATTGTAATACTTTAAGGGTTGACCTGATAACCGTGACAACAGACAGAACCCCATTTGAGGAGTTGCCTCTACCAAATTGGCCTGTAGGCATTCTGTGTGGCGTTTCCTTAATTGTTGATGATATAGGAGGGCAGTCCTGGGAAGTAGAAGAAAGACAGCTGAACCTGAGCCTGAGAACAAGGCAACAAGAAACACCACACACACACACACACACACACACACACACACTCACACACTCACACACAATCTGTGTTTCAGTTCTTGCCTTCAGATTCCTGTCTTGAGCTCTTGCTCTGGCTTTTCCTTGATGTAAGCCAGGTAAGCTCTTTCATCTCCAAGTTGGTTTTGGTCAGTGTTTTATCACATCAACAGACAAAACTAGGACAGAAATGAATTATTCTTTTCATAGCTTTTTATGGAACTTTTGTAGGCGCTTCCATTATTTTGCTAGCGATTTTAGACACCACTGGCATTCAAATTGATGAGACTGTTTTACCAAAGAAGTTAAGTATTCAATAAGCATAATGATTCTGCCTTGTCTTCCCTGAGCACAGCTTACCAAAGATGAACACAACATAATGTAATTCAGAGATGGGAACACAAGGAGATGAAGCAATCAGTGCAACCATTCAGTGATGGCCTCTGGAAACTTAAGGCTCTCAGACACAAAACTATAGATCAGCAGTTCTTCTAAACTCTAACTCATCTGAATGCCATTGATCTTGCTCAAGCAATTCACTTTCCTCTGAACCTCAAGACTCTCCCATAG